GGATCCATGGACTTAAATCATCACTTGACTCAGCCATTTAGGATTTGGTTGAGGGGGGTGGGGGGGACAAAAGCGTCATTAATGCTGGGAACAAGGGTGGGATCCATGGACTTAAATCATCACTTGACTCAGCCATTTAGGATTTGGTTGAGGGGGGTGGGGGGGACAAAAGCGTCATTAATGCTGGGAACAAGGGGGGGATCCATGGACTTAAATCATCACTTGACTCAGCCATTTAGGATTTGGTTGAGGGGGGTGGGGGGGACAAAAGCGTCATTAATGCTGGGAACAAGGGTGGGATCCATGGACTTAAATCATCACTTGACTCAGCCATTTAGGATTTGGTTGAGGGGGGTGGGGGGGACAAAAGCGTCATTAATGCTGGGAACAAGGGTGGGATCCATGGACTTAAATCATCACTTGACTCAGCCATTTAGGATTTGGTTGAGGGGGGTGGGGGGGACAAAAGCGTCATTAATGCTGGGAACAATACGCGGCTATAGGCAGCGCATCCAACAATCGCAAGGGGAACGCCGCATACCAACAGACGTGCCGGGGGGACGGAGGAAGGCGGGACGTCATATCCCTTCATGTATACATATATATTTTTATTCTCGTCATCCGCCTAGTGGACTTAGACCATCTCCATGATCATCATCATCAACATCATCATCAACATCATCATCATCATCATCATTATCATGGTCGACACCGTCATCTCCGTTAGCTACACGTCAACTTCAGCACTACCGACAGACCCTGGACGCCTTTTCTGAGTATACCTCGCTGTGCCAGCGCGAAGCACTGCTACGTTTATAGGTGTGATAAAAAGATCTGTATATATAAATATATATGTACACATATATACCTATGTGCACACATTTATGTATATATAGAACGCCGCAGTAAAGCCGCGGGTTACGAAATACGCGGGTTTGAGAAGCGTACCCAACCATCGCAAGGGGAACGCCGCATACCAACAGACACGCAGGGGGGACGGAGGAAAGTGGGATGTCATATCCGTACATACATACATACATATATATATATATATGTATGTATATATATGTCCAGAAGTGCATCCGACCGAACTGACTCAGCAGTCTCTGGCTTGTTCGGGAGAGCGCCAGGCAAACGTCTCACTTGCAACTCGGAAAAGCTTTCACTTGTAACTCTATCTCACTTGCGTCTCGCATGTCTCCCTCGCAGCGCGGCAAACCGCTGACTTGTAGCATGCGACTGTTTGCTCACATCACCTGTTGCGGGATGGAGGATGGGGGATGGGCGTGGGGGTGGGGTGTGGGGTGTGTTTTCTAGTGTGTGAAACGTTCTTCTTTGCTCTTGGCACAAAGAATATATGCTACACCATGAGCCGATCTTCTCTTGCACCTGCACACCAACATGATCTCACGCTATCACATCTTCTCCTGACACTATCATCACCATGAACATGAGGAAGATGAAGATGAATAATAGTCGGAAGAAGAAAATGCTTATAACAAGGATGATCATGAAAATGATGATGATCATGATGATGATGATGATGATGGTGATGATGATGCTCACTTGGTGGTCAACATGATGGTCAACCCTGAGTGGACAACATGATGATGGGGTACCCGCCCTCCGACCCCTCATGATGGTTAACATGAGGATGACAATGATGATAGTGGAATATGTCTATTCTGGACGACGACGGTGATGATGATGATGATGATGATGATCTTCAGGTATCCCGAAGCGATGCATGAGGCATAGCCCGAAGCGATGCACCCGACGTATCCCGAAGCGGTCCCTATGCCCCAAGAGTCAGAGAAGAGAAAAGAAAAGAAGAGAGAAGATCAGAGAAGAGAAAGAGTCAGAAGAAAGAAGACGCAGGCGCGCGAAACGATAGAACCGCGAAACACTGTGTTTTTCGAATGATTTGTGGTTCCGGAGGGTCGAAAAGTAGGCTCGCTAAAGCCGCGGGTGCGGAGCCAGCTGGCCAGATGAGAGATGAAAAATTGCACGCCGTTGTGGCGCGAAGCACATTTCCAAGTCAAAATGGACAAAGCACTAGAGGAGCGGACCACTTTTGGAAGTTGCGATGTCGAAAAAGTGCACGCCGTTGTGGCGCGAAGCACATTTCGAAGTCAAAATGTACAAAGCACATCATTCTCGGACCACTTTTGGAAGTTGAGATGTCGAAAAAGTGCACGCCGTTGTGGCACGAGGCACGTTTCGAAGTAAAAGCGTACAAAACACACCAACATTGGAGCACTTTTGGAAGTTGACATGTCGAAAAAGTGCCAGCCGTTGCGGCGCGAAGCACATTTCGAAGTCAAAATGTCAAAAACACCACATGTTCGCGCCCCTTTTGGACATTCAGATGTCGTTTTGCGTGGCAGGCGCAAGGGATTGTACACCTCGTCAAAAGTGAGCAAAACGTGAGGGTTTTGTAGCAGTTTCAAAAAGCGTTGGCAGGCGTGGGACATTTGAAGAGGATCTGCACAGACGCATTTCGCCTGGCAGGCGCAGTACGAGAGACATGTCCATCAGATATGTTAAGAGGTTAGGGCGCTGATTTCCTGAGAGGGGTTGCATTTTGGAGCATCAGATCGTCAGGTGTGGTAAGATGATTTTGTGTGACAGGTGCAGCACTTCGTACGACCTGGCCTCACTTTTTCCTGGCAGGCGCAATACTTTAGAGACATGGACTGGAAAAATCGCAAAACACATTGGCACGAGCTGAATTTTCCATTATTGAAGGAAGTCTCGCGGAATTGCTTCATTTTTGATGTTGTCAATAGTTGTCAACTTCGAAAATTCACGACTTCTCGCAGAATTGCTTCGTTTTTGACATTGTCAAGTTCAAATTTTGAAGACATCTCGCAGAATTGCTGCGTTTTTGATGTTGTCAAGCTCAGAAACTGAGGAAGTCTCGCAGAATAGCTTCGTTTTCAAGCTTGCAGATAGACAGATAGATAGATAGATAGATAGACAACTACAACTACAGCTACAGCTATAGCTACCACTACACTACACTACTACTACAACTACAAATGCAACTACACGACGCTACATTGCACAAATTACACTACACTACGCTAATTACATCTAATTACGCTACACTACGCTAATTACACTACAACGACAACTACAACTACAACTACCACAGCTACAACTACAGTTACAACTACACTTACATTACACTACACTACGCTAATTACACTGCAGTACACTACAACTACAAATACAACCACAGCTACAATACATTACACATCACTACCCTAGATTGTATAATTACATTACATCACACTACAACTACAACTGCATCTGCAACTGCGCTTGCAACTACAACTACCACTGCATTGCACTACACTACACTACCAGTAGTACCGCACAAGGCGGTGGCGGAAGTCTCAAAAATAGGAAACCTATAGGAGAGATTGGTTGTTGTGAATCAGGGGTGGCAGAGCGAATCCACTGATGGACCGAATGGTGCTTGAGGTCTCCTCTCTTTCTCCCTCCTTCTCTGACTATCTACCTACCTACCTATCTATCTTCTATGTATCTATCTATCTATCGATCTCTCTCTCTCTCATCTAATTACCTATCTATCTATCGATCTCTCTATCTCTCTCTCTCTCATCTAATTACCTATCTATCTATTCTATCTATCTATCTATCTCTCTCTCTCTCTCTTTCATCTGTCTATCTGTTTAGCTGTCTACCTGTCTATCTATCCATCTATCTATCTGTCTATCTGTCTACCTGTCTATCTGTGGTGCAGTGTCACTCAGTGTAGTGTAGTGCAATGTAGTGTAGTGGAGTGTGGTGGAATGTAGTGTAGTGTAGTGTAATGTAGTGTAGTGTAGTGGAGTGTAGTGGAGTGTAGTGGGGTGTAGTTGTGTAGTCGTAGCTGTAGTTGTAGTGTAGTGGAGTGTCGTGTAATGTAGCGAAGTGTAGTGGAAGGTAGTGTAGTGTAGTGTAATGTAGTGTAGTGGAGTGGAGTGTAGTGTAATGTAGTGTAGTGTGGTGTAGTGTAATTTAGTGTAGTGGAGTGTAGTGGAGTGTAGAGGAGTGTAGTTGTGTAGTTGTCGTTGTAGTTGTAGTGGAGTGTAGTGTAGTGTAATGTAGTGAAGTGTAGTGGAAGGTAGTGTAGTGTAATGTAGTGGAGTGTAGTGTAGTGTAATGTAGTGTAGTGTAGTGTAATTTAGTGTAGTGGAGTGTAGTGGCGTGTAGTGGAGTGTAGTGGAGTGTAGTTGTGTAGTTGTAGTTGTAGTGTAGTGGAGTGTAGTGTAGTGTATATAATGTAGTGAAGTGTAGTGGAAGCTAGTGTAGTGTAGTGTAATGTAGTGTAGTGTAGTGTAGTGGAGTGTAGTGTAGTGTAATGTAGTGTAGTGTAGTGTAGTTGTAATTTAGTGTAGTGGAGTGTAGTTGTAGTTGTAGTTGTAGTTGTAGTGTAGTGGAGTGTAGTGTAGTCTAATGTAGTGAAGTGTAGTGGAAGGTAGTGTAGTGTAGTGTAATGTAGTATAGTGTAGTGTAGTGGAGTGTAGTGTAATGTAGTGTAGTGTAATTTAGTGTAGTGGAGTGTAGTGGAGTGTAGTTGTGTAGTTGTAGTGTTGTGGAGTGGAGCGTAGTGTAGTGTAATGTAGTGTAGTGGAGTGTAGTGTAGTGTAATGTAGTGTAGTGAAGCGAAGCGAAGCGAAGTGACATCTGAACCTCCAAAAGTGGTCCCAACCCCTGGTGTTTTTAACATTTTGACTTCGAAATGTGTTTCGCCCCACAACGGTGTGCACTTTTTCGACATCTCAACTTTTAAAAGTGGCGCGAACATGTGGCGTTTTGTCAATTTGACTTCGAAACGCGCTTCGCGCCACAACGGCGTGCACTTTTTCGACGTCGCAACTTCCAAAAGTGTCCGAGCATGGTGTGTTTTGTACATTTTGACTTCGAAATATGCTTCGCGCCACAACGGCGTGCACTTTTTCGACATCGCAACTTCCAAAAGTGGTCCGACACTGAGGTGCTTTATACATTTTGACTTCGAAATGTGCTTCGCGCCACAACGGCGTGCACTTTTTCGACATCGCAACTTCCAAAAGTGGTCCGACACTGAGGTGCTTTATACATTTTGACTTGGAAATGTGCTTCGCGCCACAACGGCGTGCACTTTTTCGACATCGCAACTTCCACAAGTGTCCGAGCATGGTGTGCTTTGTACATTTTGACTTCGAAATGTGCTTCGCGCCACAACGGCGTGCAATTTTTCCTCTCTCATCTGGCCTAGCGAGCCTACTTTTCGACCCTCCGGAGCCACAAATCATTGGAAAAACACAGTGTTTCGCGGCTTTCCTACCTTTTCGCGCATCTGCATCTTCTTTCTTCTGACTCTTTCTCTTCTACTCTTCCCTCTTCTAATCTTTCTCTTCTCTCTGCCTCTGCCCTACTCTGCTTTTCATCTGTCCATATTGTCGGAAGTTTGACTTCTAAACTTCCTTCGGTTAACTATGCACTATACACCATACACTGTACACTATGCACTTTACACGTCACTACACTATACTACATTATACACACACTATCCACTACACTACACTTATCACGCTGCACTACACCACACTACAGCTACAACTACAACTATACCACACTACAACTCCAACTACAGTACCCTACACTACACTACATTACACTGCACTAATTACACCACACCACCGCTACAACTGCAAGTGCAACTACACTACACTACGTAATTACACTACACTACAACTACAACTCCACTACACTACAACTACAACTACAGCTACAACTACAACGGGACTACACCACACTACATCCAGCAGTTGCGGTGGGGTGACCACTGCAACCATGGCAACCACTCCAAAAAGCAGAGCTCAAACCCGAACCAGCTTTCGGACCATCAATGGATTTGCGTTGCTATCCATGCATCACAACAACTCACCTCTCCTATAGTGTCCTATCTTTAAACTTCCGCCACCGCCTTGTGCGATACTACTGGTATAGATGCTACTACCCAACAGTAACAGAAAGTGTGCAGCATATATATATAGATATACTTCCTTGAAATCTTCTTGCAGACGGAGCTAATGCAGCGTTCAGAAGCAGAAAAGCAGCAACCTCATTGTTGAATGTTTTCAGGAAAACTTGTATGTCCATCATGGTGTATTGACCTACATTGGGCATATTTTTTACTAATAGACTTGCATGCGCTGCAATGTTTGACTACAGCCAGATTGCCGAGGCAAATGGCATTCTGTTTCCTTGCTGCATCAAGGGACCCTTTTTACGTCCAACTTAAGGATCAGTGATGCAGTAGCAGGCACATACAGCCACATACACATGTTTTGCTGTATGTGCATGACCTTCAATCCAAGAGACCAAAAAGGAACACATTCGCAAGCATGCTCAAGGTTTGTTTCCATGATGAAGTGGAGCATCAGACATGCCAATGACATGCCACGCGTGACCGTGGAGAGCTATACCCCTGCAGAATGAATACTGTAGAAGGTGACCAATCAAGTATATATGCGGAGACGAGCAGAATATGCCTTGGCATGTATTGTAGTTCAAAGGTAATCAAGCATGGATGTTGGTCACCTCACTGGTTTCCTGGTGTCCGCTGTTGCTTTGCGAATGTTGCGGTGATCCACCCACGCCTAGATTTCAACCGAGGCGGGTGTCCGCCATCGAAAAATCTACTGGAAAGTCCAGCGCGCTCACCATCACAAACGACAAAGGAACTCTCAGCAAGGAACAGATCGATCAGATGATTCAGGTAAGGCTGATTCCGGTGTGTTCACAACGGGTACATGATGCTGAAGACAGAAGCGCGTAGCTCAAAATTCTGAAATCTTGCTGCGCAAGATGTGCTCACAACATTGTCGGAAAATGCCACTGCAGGGAGAGGATGGGCAATTGCAAGGCACCAATGAGCTACCAGAGTCAGGACCTGTCAAGGCAGGGCACTTGGGGCATTGGATGGCATTGGATGGCATTGGATGGCATTAGCCTTTGCCAAAAGCTTTGCGCATCTCTGCCCATCTTTGCCGCCCCTCTCTGCTTTTCTTTGTAGTTCCATCAGCTGAGATCCATCAATGCTTGGGCCTGGAGGCTTATGGGGCATCGTATGCAGCCCGTGTGAGTCGTGGACGTGTGCACGACTATTGGACAGGACTCACAATTGATCCAAGGCCTGGTGAGCGGAGGAACCGGTTCCAGGACAGTGCGGGGCATTTCCTCGAGATACATCCCTTGCAACCCCAAGAACGCGAGTCTCTCTGTAGCTGCTATCTAGACTGCTATGTGTCATTCGTTGTGCATGTCGTTGTCTATGTCTACTATAGAACAAAAGCGTACTGATTTGACCATAAACACACTGTGGCACAAGGCGAGATGAAACGCAGCATTGCACTATCACAGTGCAGCGCCTCGGCTTCAGGAATCATTTTCCGATGGAACGATCCTGCTTGACTTCTCAATGATGGACATGCCATTCATATACCGTGTACATCTTGATGTGCTTGCAAACTCTCAAAAGATGCAACCGCTGACTTCTAGCATTTCTAGGATGGACATGGCAGGTTTTCACAATATGCAACCGCTTGAGTAGAAACAACCTTCCCTGTGAACGCCTTGCAAGCCATTTGTTGGTCTTTATCGATGCATCGATGCATGGTCAATACTTCGAGCAGCTCAACCTCACTGGTAATTTCCTGATTTCACACGGTGATGGCCTTTCAGAACCATTGTGCAATATTTTCTGGAGCCCTTCCTTTTATCCACCTGCCCAGGTTCTACCATACTGTCGTTGGTGGAGTTCCATCACCCCAGGACGGACGTTGGCAGGGCCCCTTTTGCATTCTTTTGCCCCATACTCTGTGCAAACTGTTGATGCGAAGGAAGTTTGCTGAAAAAGGGGAATCCTGGAACGTACAATCGCTTTGCTTCAGCTACATGCTAGATTCATTTATGGATTTTATGGCACAAAGCGGCTACTGCATATCATGGCATTATATACCGCTTTAGGACGTCATGGCCGCCATTGATGATTTGGAATCTCAATTTCAGCACTGTGAATGGCATGGACACCTGGATGAGTCCATTGGCTCAGACTTTCTGTGTTTGGATTTGGAGACCGAGTTATGAAATCGAAAAATGCGCAATCGATAAAAATGTAAGGAGCATTTTCTAGCTGTGAGCAGTTTGAGAGGTGTATCTTGCGCTTGGCTGGGTGAGATTATATTTATTTGAAGGCTTTTAACCTACCAGCGCAACAAAAGCGAAGGCCGCCGAGATATAGGAAATCCCAACAGACCAGGGCCTCTTATACTACTGTTCCGGAGAGCCAGAAATGTCTTACTGGTACCATGGTTTGAAGCTTTGCTGAAAGGCTGTTTGAACGTTTCTGGGCAAGTTTGACCCCTTGTTTCCCCGCAAGCATACTGAAACATTGCTCCCAGGATCTGCCGACAAAACTAGCAAATAGAGTAGTAGATTTTTATAGAATGATGTAGATAGATTGAGCATATTTGTGGGCATGCTTGAAATCGCGCATTCCATGTTCTTGGCGCTTTCAATATAAGGTCCGGGGCTGATTTCATGAAAGATTGAGGGGCCATGTCACCAAGCCTTTGAGCCTTGGAGCGTGAGTTGATCATATTGTATTTGGTTCAGTGTCTGCTAGCCAAGCGGTTGCTTGTTTAAGGTCTTTTCGGATGACCTGATTATTCTGAGTCTTGTGTTTGACGATGCGGTTTCGGCACAGTAGACATTTAAAAAAGAATCAAAGTCTTGTGAGAAATTGTGAGAATATGTTCGTGCTTCCCCCTTTCCGAGCCAAGGCAAGCAGTTTGACTTTCTAAGCTGCCATTGTGAGGGTGATGAGTTTCACTTCCGACTCTTACGACAAGTACTTGCCGTGCGGAGATCTTTGTGGGAAGAGAAGACTGTACAGCTCTTCCTCATAGATTGGGTTTCTATTGGCTTTCTATGGCTTCCTTTCCAAAGAAACTGGCAGTGGTACAGCGGTGCCGAGAGAAAAAAGATAATCAAGCACTGGTAGTGATATTTGCAGATCGCGTAGGTAGGCTTTGATTTTTTTTCATAGGATTTCAGCCTCACGAACAGTTTGGTTTGTGCAAGTTCTGTGGTAATTTTGATGCGTGCAGCCCAGAAGTCGAGCACCCAGAAAGACTTCCAAGAGCATGTTCGATCGTGCAACATGTGGGTACGTGACGGTACGTGTATGTAGCAGCATCTTGAAATCATGACCTGAGCTCCAGGCTGAGCAAGCCCAGTTTACTGAAAGACCGGTGCTGCTGTGCCAGGCATCCCTTCAGCCCTGGCCTCCTTGCATGCCATACGTTGGTGATGATCCCAGATGCTGTCTTTGGATGTCTTTGGTGAAACTGTGACACTCCACGCGAACATCATGGCATATTGCTGCAATGTGGGTACTCTTGGGTAAAGTTTAAGGACACCTGTCATTGTTTTACAACTGACCATCCAATCTTGGCTACACACAATTTGACCATGCCCACGTTTCATTGCCTCAAACACATTGCTTGCAAGCAAGCTAGCGAACGCATACATATTAGAGGAGTTTACGATATTTGTTTGCTTTCGCATGTCCCTTGTCAGGATGTGTCAAATTGAGATTTCCATTTCATATTGAAAAAGAAGATGGCCAAGCGTGCGAGGGCAAATCAGGTTGTTTTCACCTCACCCAAACCTGAGGAAGGATGCTGAACTACAAGAACTGTTCCTCACGCATGGACCCACAGCCGAAAGAACATGATCAAAAATCATTGCGTGAACTTGCGTGATTTGTTCGTGTATCTGGAAGTTCCTTTCATCTTGATCCGCCACAGCGAAAGCTTTGAACGGTTGTATACACTGATTCAGAGATTATTAGAGTTCCGGCTGAGCCTTGCTTTAGTGGCTCATGGTGGTTTTATCCAATTGTTGGATGCACATTTAGTATCATTTGATTCTGCAATGTGCTCCTCAGCTCTCAAACACATTTCCCTGACTGCCGGCTTGAGCATGCGCCACGGATCAGCATGATTCGGTGTTTGCTTCAAGTTGCTTCTCAAGGCAAGGCTTCCTTGTGGCAGAGGAGTCAAATGACATATACTTAGCGCGAGTACTGGAAGCGTGGCCAGGGACCTCAGAAAAGATAAGTACTAGCAGAACCCTGGCAGAACCAGTGTAGATCCATGCTTGCAGATGGGGATCCACATCATCTGCCATGTTCTGCCTCATGCGTGGAAATTGCGTGTAATTACACCACTCTTATCTGAATGGGATAAATGTGACAAGTCATGTACATTGCAGGAATATGGAAATGCTGCGCCATTTTGATAGACCTGCCTGCTGTTCATTGTTTGGCCCAACGCCATTTGGCAACAAGCCTTACCTATATTTTGTGATCGTTGTTCAGATGGTTCTATATTATTTGCAGCATCCATGGGCGAACAAGAGTGAAAATGGGTTTGTACAAGTCAAAGTGCGCTTAAGATCCTGCTTGAAAGTATTGCTCCCAACTTCTGTCAACATTTTGCAACTCAGTAGAAGCACCCCTACCATATTCAGAGTTCGAAGATCTTGCACAGGGCATGGTAGGTCAAGGTTCTTGCCAAAGATTATATAGCTGTTGCAGGAAATGACGCAAAGATGGGGTGTTTGATACAAGGTGTAGCACAAACATTCAGCAAATATCCTTGACATGGCAAGGTCCAGCGCCGTAATTTTTGCTGTGCGAATGCGGTGTCATATTTGACATTTTTCAAAAGATGTCAGCAATGGAGCAAAAGGGACAACCTCACCAGGAAATCGAGTGATACCCCGGATCAAGCCAATAGCTCACATGTTCTCCATAGAGATTGCAATACCCTGCGCCCCTTTGCAGATCATGTCCTGGAAGAAAGCTCAAACTGTAGGTCTCGGACGTGCGCCAAAGATCCAGAAGTTACAGACCGCATGGAGCAGTTGGCAGAACAGATCTGCGCCAGGGCTCCCAGAATATCCCAGAATGTCTCTGATCATTCTGATCCCAAGACTTTTCAATCTTGTCAGTTGTCAGGAATTCGGTGGGTCAGGCTATACATAGGTGGAGAGCGATCTACTTTATGGCATTCGATGGTTTTCCACGCGTTCCGACTTGTTCAAGCAGGTACAAACATGTTTCAACATGTTCCCATTGCCACTGTTTGGGCATTGCTTGAAGATGTACACGGCGCACGCTGCTGTAAGCTCACAGCCCCAGAGGCTCAGCGAATGCGTTCCTCCTATCCTGTGATCGTCCAACTGCTGCATACTGCTACTGTATACCTGCATCCAGCTCACAGGCTCCGGAAAGCAACAAGCATACGGAGTTGGCCCATGACATGCGAGATGCACTGAATGTCAGAGGCTTACTAGACGGCAGTCCTGACCGTGGCAATTCCAAATTTGATAGGTACAGATCATGTATGCACTTTTGTGAGTTTCCTTGTAGAAAGAGAGATCACATGAAAAAGTTGACAACAGAACGTTTGTTTAATATATGACGCGCTTTCAGGTAACGCCAGCAGCTGTTTCACAGAAGTTGGACTTAATACGCTTTATTCCCGCTGTACGGCTGGTTGCTTCCCAGAACTCGGCCAGGTCCTGGCAACTTTGATGCGCTCATCTCCAGAATCCAAGCTTATATCTCACTTAGAGGTGCCTACAGAGCGCTAATCCGCTATACAGTTGCTACATGTATTTACATGTTGTTACCACATTTTTCTTGGGGAGCAGAAACTTGCACATCCTCATACTGTAAGGAGCAAGGATTCAGCCGGCTGCCGTCAGGATGACTCAACAGGAAGTATTCTTTTATGTGTTTTCTGCAAGTTCCGCATGTAGTCTTGGTGTGATTGGGGCCTTTTGAGCTGGGGATGGAGCAGATGGAAGCATCATGTCTTGCTGTGGCTATTTGCTTGCCTTTGTTACAGGCGCATCTATCCTCGAAACTTCGTGGGGCCAGCTATGCTGAGGCGGCGCAATACTGTGTCTACGCAAACTTATGATGACACATGTATATACTTCCATGATTTTCCATGCATATCTCGGATATTTTGCATTATCAACCAGCACGTATTTGATCGTATTTGTATGACATTTATGGTTGCGTCGCCTATTATACAAGCTAACTCCTGTAAACCTGCGTTTTTTCAACTTGCGAAAAAATGATTTTACAAAACAATGTTTAAAAAAAGAAGAAGCAAAAAAATGCAGAAATCCGCAAAAAAAACTGAGTTAAATGCAAAATAAATGCAGAAAACAGCAAAAACGAAACCAAAAATATCTGCGATTGGAACGCAGCAGAAATGGAAATTCCCAAACACTGAGGGAAAAAAAGTAAACGCGAAAAACATGCAAAGCACCAGGCCGCGTTTTGCTACTGTTTGCTTTTGTGTTGTGTTTTTTCGCGGTTTTTGCATGTGTTTTTGTAATCGCTTTTCACAGTTTTT